GCCCCCCCCACAGAGCGAGCGCAGCCAACAGGCCTGGCTCCGTTCAGCACTGCCAGGCGTACTGGAGCGTGTCATTTCATCTCTGAGCTTTAGCTTCCTCATCCATAAACATGGACCTGTTTTGGTATCGTCCCTAAAAATTCCACGCATCTGACTTGCTTCCCTGGTGCCAACCTGTTTTCATATCCAAGTGCTTCTAAATTTCCAGCATAAAACTAAACAAAACCCCCAAACTCACAGCAATATGACCAACTCAATTTCTCCATGGTGTCCCCATTCGGCCACAGGAGGACAGTCTCCATTACCTTATCTATGACAGACAGCTGCTCTCTAGATCGCCCTCCAGCCCCAAGAGCCATTCCCCTGAAGACAGAGGAGAATGGAGTCTGACTGGTATTTGATCAGGGAAAACCTTTCCAGACCTCAGCAGACACCATAAGGGGTTAAGGGCATTGAAGAAGCCCCCTAGGTCCCAACGGGTTTTTCCCTTATAAAAGAACGCAACATTTTAAATCCTGGAACTTCAACTCAGCCACCAAATCTTACCCTTTCCCCATTTCATAATAATTCTGTGTTCTTAATTTCCTTCTAGTTTTAAAATGTGCACGCCCTTTGTCCTGCATTTGTTACAAGCACTTCGTTTTGGCTTTTGCTTCGATCCAATGTTCCTGCCCGCCATCCTCGTGTCCGGCACACGCCGCTGCAAGTCGGAATTCACTCCCAACCACAGCCACGAAGAGCAGGCCCTCCTTGGCTATCTGTGGTAACTACTGCCACGGCACCGCATGCACACTCTGTTCTAGTCCCTTAGCCTTGGTCACCAAGTCCCGACGAGGCCGGCTCTGTGCTTGCTCCGGCATATTTTACATGCTCAAATTTTCCCCAACCCCGACAGGCAGGGTTTTGTTTCCTCGATGTAAATAAAACGAAACACCACCAAGGTTCAAAGAGGTTAAGTAACCTGGCCCACGTCACGCAAATAGTGAATGGCAGAGATCTGAGATTGTAACAAACTCCAGTTCCAAATTCCACCCTCTTTCTCCCACACTGCACTGCTTCCTTCCCACCCGAGCCCACCTGTCCCTCCCTCCTCTGTTCTTTCACATATATATCCAAGGTAGCACCTCCTCCTACTTTGGTAAGAATGATAAGCTATAGGGAAGGTCAGACCGGTTTGTTTCCAGCCTCCTGCTGGCTGGCAGTCTCTAGGAATGCCCTTCGCAGAGCCCTGGCGCAGGCTGTCCCTGCGACAGAGGGCTGCTCTCCTGGAGTCCACATCCCCAGGTCCCAGGCTCTGCCGCTGCTCTGCTATCTGCCCCACTCTTCTCTGGCTCTGCAGCTCAGGAACCTCAACTGTATTCAGGGCCCTCTGGCAAAGGGCCACCTTTATCTTCGTCCCATCTGACCATAATGTAGGTACAATGTGACACGATGGCCAGTCCGGTTTTTCAGCATTAATGGCAGACAGGATCAACAAAATGCAGGGTGGCCAAGCTGCGCGAACTTAACACATTGTGGATAACTCCGTGAAGAATAGGGATTCCAGAACACATCGCTGTGCTCCTGCAGAACCTCTATATAGTCAGTCAAACTAAGGAGATAGTGTGTGGTTTAAAATCAGGAAAAATGTGCCAGGGTTATATCCTTTCACCAAGCTATCGTCTGTATGCTGAGCACCTAATCTGAGAAGTTAGAATATAGAACATGCTCCTGTTGCTGAAGAGTCAAGAGGATTGAAGCACTTCCTGATGAAGATCAAAGAATTGCTGCCTTCAGGATGGATTACATCTCCTTGTAAGGACATCCTCACAGGTGGGCCAATGTGCAACATCACGCTAAACAGAAGACGAGGACTGTGAAGGATTCCGTTTTACTTGGATCCAAAGTCAAGGTCCATCGAAGCAACAGTCAAATCAGACAAAGTCTAACACTAGGCAAATCTTTTACAGAAGCCCTCTTTAACATGTTAAAAACCAAAGGTGCCAATTTGAAAGTTAAGGTGTGTCTGACCCACGCCGGGTAATCTGGATGGCTTCAGATGAAAGTGTAGACTAGACAGTGGCTAAAATGGATTGAAAAGGAATGGATGGATTGGAATGATGGTGCTAGTGAGAAATAAGGAGTAGCAGGGACTGTCAGAAACACAGGCCAACCTGGACTGGAAGAAGTAGAGCCCAGGTGCCTAAGTACAAAGTGAGAGTGGCTTCCTCTCCTGCATTCTGGACGTGCTACCAGGAGGGGCCAGTCCCTGGAGTAGGACCTCACAGGGAGTGTAAAGCAGAGGCCAGTGAACATGAGGAAGAGCCTCAAGACGATGAACCGACACTGGCTACAACACTGGACTCACACCAGACAATGCAGGACCGGGCGGGGTTTGCGCCAACTCACGGTGGCTAGCAGCCATGAGCACCAATACCTAAACCGGGCTGCCTGCGCATAAACATCCATCTCAGATCGGCTAAAAACATCCATCAGTTAGTTATACCACCTATCATTATTCGATGTAAATGGATTTTGAAAACGCTAAAGACACTGTGTAAGAAGTCCAGATGACAAGAATGGATTCACTGAAAGATTCTGACAGAATGCGTTGTAACTGCCGAGGCCAGAAAGATGGGGAGAATATGAGGAAGCAGTGAACGATGGAGTCTAAGTGATTCAGCTATGCCAGTCCCACGTTTTTTTGCCTAACCACATGCCTCAAGAGGGAGCTTGTTAAAAATCCCAGTTCCCAGAGCCCACAGGAAGTCTCCGAGCCAGGGCATTTGAGCTGGGGTACAGGAGGACCCTAGGTCTCTCAACTTTTTCATCGTCTGATGACTTCCATGTTCAGGTAAGCTTGAAAAGTAGTCAGTAGCTCTTCGAGGTTTTTGGACCCACTCTTAATGCTAATTTTATCTAAATTCTTATCTGGCTATCACACTAACCCAAATACCTTAAAAACAACAACGACTCCACTCCTCCCCCTTATTTTAGAGTACTCTTCTAAAAAAAACCTCACGCTACCTAGAAAGGTGGCCTCTCACGTTCAAAAACAAGCATCCTATATAACGCTAAGAAATTTCAAGTAGCTTCAAAAAATACGTTATTTTTAAATTTTACTTTTTCACAAACTTTGTTTTTTCAAACCATTTCATTAGGACATAAACCTACCATTCAATAGTTCGGTCATATCAAGCAGTGTTGTACAATCACCACCACAATCAATTTCACAAACTTCTGAAGCCCCACATATCTACCAAAAAATTGAGATAATTTCATTCTGGAGCTTCTATAAAATCATGCTTCAAAACAAAACTCACTGCTATGGAGCTGATTCTGACTCATAGTGACCCTATAGGTCAGGGTCGACCTGCTCCTGTGGGTTTCCAATACAGCTGTTGATTGGCGTCGAAAGCCTCATCTTTCTCTTGAGGACTGGATGGTGGTTTCAAACTAAGGACCTGGCAGTGAGCAGCCCAACTCGTAATCACAACACCACCGGGGCTCCTAAATGCACACTTAGACACAACCAGTAGACAATGCTCACAAATTTGAATTCTTTCTGGAAAGGGGAATTTAGGAGCCAGCAGATCTGGCTTCAAACCTCCACAATGCATTAGCTGCATGAGTCAGCGGCGATGTTGCTTACCCGAGAGCTGGCCTCATTTGTAAAACAGGGTTATGATACACAGCTTGCAGGCTTGTTTTGAGGATCACAGTTAATGTGTAAACAAGAGCATGAAATACATAAGCTTCAATATATACTACTTCTTACTATCGCATGACAACAGACAGAATGAAGTACTGGATGGTTTCCAGAGTACAATGATTTCTCTATTGTCCCCTACATGACAAGGAAAGGAAGTTCTCTAAGGCACCAAGAATCATTAAGCATACTCTAGTGTCTGGACCAGTGGACCTCAGTCCTGGCGGCTGTCCATGAAGCCCATCGCCTTGGCTACCACAGTGTCCCTTATCCTCTCAGATGGTCGCTGCAGCTTCTAGTACCTCACACCCACTTGTGCCACTGATGGCTCTAGGAGCGGAGGGGCTTCATCTACAGGCAGTTCTGGGGACTAGCTCCCCTGCCACCCTCCAGCTTTTCAGCACTTGTCAATTACTCATTTACAATGACTACTTCCCCATCCCTGCCCAAAACAAACCTTGGTGGGCTGGATCTGTGGTGACTGGGCAGACCCTTCTCCAGCAGTTATGACCTGTTTTTGAGGAGACACAGCTATCATGTGACCCCCCTTCACAGTCACGTACTGGGGGAGTGGTGCCTGGCTGGCAGCTCCTGAGGTGGGCACATGGGGGGCTTCGCCAGGTTCCTGCTTGATGATCACCTTACAACAAACATAATGACACTGAACAAACATCCCATGAAAAAAGCTACTCACATGTGAATCTATGCTGCTTACAGAAGTAATGAATTAATGGTTTGTAAAGAATGACTCTATCAAAATCAAAATACTGCTTGAATGCAGTCTATGACAACTATTAAATGGACCAAAATGAGGACTTAAGACTTGATCCTGTGAAGCTGCCAATATAATTTAGACACGTCTTTCATCCGTATTGCAGCAGGGCAACAGAGACACACACAGAGTATCCTCTGAAGTGCCCATCTGCCGGGACCCCAGCTGCACGTCTAAATAAGCGGACACGTGGCCCAGGGGCAGGACCTGGGTGTGGAGCTGAGGCACATGGAGTGTTATGTGCTGGAGGAGCTCCAACAGGCCACAAAAGACCACATGGACTTCAGAAATAACTCCCCAAACATGTACCTTATACGTCACAAAACCACTCGGACTTCAGACATAAGCCCCTAAAACACATACCTTTGTGAAAGCTCCCAGTCCTCCAGTGACGGGTTTGGGGCTTTGAACCTTAGGATGACTTCCAATCGGGCAAAGAGGGGGCATAGATGCAAACAGAGAGTCCTCCTGCTATGGAGGTAAAAGAGTATATCACACAATTAGGCTAAAATGGGTGATTTAGGATATTCTAGGCACTATTACAACTGTAACATTTTCGTAACATCAATAACCCAAAGATAAAACATTCCAGATCCATTGGCATCCTCCACGCCTATCTGCCTTTTAATACTGTTCTAGAAGCTAAATGGGAAGGAAGTGGTCACGGAGCAAGATCCTGCTATCTGTAGGTGTAAAGGGCTTCTTTCCCAGCACCGCGCACCTGGTGAGAGGACTCCTGAAGGGCACAGGCCAGACTTCATTCCTGTGCAGCCGAGAGCTTCTCAGGAAATCAGGCTGGAAGTCTCTGCACACCCTTACAACAGCACTGCGCTCACCTCTGAATGCATAAGCACGAGGCAGGAGTCACATTTTCCCATTAAGGTTTAAAAAACAAAGCCACAGAAAAACCCAAACAATCAGCAGACGCAAAAGCAACAAAGTTCAGTCTATTAGTTTGTCCAATTTTCAAAGGAAACATGCAAATCTGAGACAACTTACCATAATAAGTGCTACAGGCAAGAAACACAGTAAAAAAACTGCTTGACTGAAAGGATCCTCAGCCAACATGAAAAAGTGACAGGGGAATTCGTGCATTCACCTTCACAGTACTCAGGGACAGCTACACATTTAGAGAAAACGATTGTTTGGACTGGGACACCACTGACTATGCCACTCTTCTGAGCCAAGACAGAAGAAATGCAGTGTTAGGCGTTAGTCATATAAGAGAAGGGATCTTTCTAGTCTCAGGGGATCTTCCGACAATTCACACTGGAGGAGTTTTAAAGTAAAGGCAGTTATGACAAGCAGGCAGAATAACTAACAAGACAGCAGGCGGTGTCTCTGCCAAGTGGTCAGCTGCTATCTACCTCTGACTTGACCAAGTCAGATCTGACGTTCCAAGCTTCACCCAATGAGAGCTGGTGACCCGAAAAGGGAAACAAACTACCCCAGCTTGTGGAGACATAAGAACTGTCCTTACAAACCAATCGTCCAACGTGTGGACAAGGTGCCATATATACTCGTGTATAAGTCAAGTTTTCAGCACATTGTGGTAAAATCAGATGCCTCGGCTTATACTCAAGTATGCACGTTACTCCTTGTGAACGCCTCCTCATCAGTGTTGGGGGACTACCTGAGAGAAGTGCTGAGAAGCATTTTCTACCCTCAGAAGGGAGCAAGGAATGGATGTGGGAGTCTGGAGTAAAAGATCATCTAAATACATTATCGAGGGACAAATTCTTTGTCTTTAGAAACTAGCAATGTGCAATGATGCCACAAGTCTTACCTTGACAGCAGATGTTACAAAACCACTTCCATGAATTTTAGGAATTGGGGAACCCGTTCCTTGGGAGGCCTGGGAGGCAGTGGAGAGCTTGCACGTAGGGCTTCCTGATAAGCAAGACAGATTTAAAAAGAAAACATGAACTACGAGCAAAGTGCAAACTAGAATTTTAAGTAATTTTCATCCACTATCCATTTTACTCTTTTCCATTTTAAAAAATTGAAAGCACACAATCGGGAAATAAATATGTTCTGACATGTAGAAAAATACATAAAGGTAGTGAGACATACACTCTGTTCCTATGTGAGACACTGTAATCTAATTGTGCTGGCTATGCCAAAACACATTTTAAAAATTCACTCCATTTCGTTTTTCAACAACCTTTTCAAGTCCCTCCTTTTAATGACTCCAATAATGGAAATCAAGAGGAAAAAAGAAAAATTTTTCAGAAAGCTGAGCACCCTGCGGCGGTGTGGGGTTATCTGACGGAAACGTGAAGTCTGTTATTAGAACACAGCGCTGTTCTTCTATGAGTGCTCTCCTGCTAACAGCAGGCTTTAGCTTCTCTCACAGGCACAAGGTACCTGTTCACAGAAAGGTACCACTTGTCACGTGACTGGGTACACATGAAGCACCAAGGTCACAACGAGTCACGTATTAAACGGAAACGTGGTTAACCACGTTAGAGTAAGTCTTCCAAATGGAACTATTATCAATTAGAAAAGAGTGTGTAATTATTATTAGGAAGCTACTTAAGATTTGCCCTTTAAAAAAATTTTATTGTGGTTTGGGTGCCAATTTATGAGCAAAGTAGCTTCCCATTCAGCCTATTTTATTTCTTAACACTGGATACAACCCCTTAGTAGAACAGCACCCCCACCCACCCCCACTTCTTCCCTGGGTCCCTGTTTTCACCCACGCATCTTTCCTGCCCTTTCTGCCTTACGAACTCCGTGGTTGGGAAAATGCCTTTTCCTCAAGTTTTTCTTAGGAGCATGAGCCCATGGCTGCTACGACTCACTTTACGGACAGGGCTGCCTGTTGTTTGCTTGGAAGGCGACCCCCGGAGTGGGTCAGTTCAAGGTTGCAGGGTGTCTAAGAGGCACAGTCTCGGGCGGGGGTCCTACCAGTCTTGTTAGACTGGTAACCTTGGTCTTTCTGAGTTCTGCCCTACAGTTGACCACCACGGTCCAGGACCACCTACTGTGACCCCAGTCAGAGCGGTCAGTGGGGGTAGCTGGGCACCACCTAGTCCAGAACTCAGGCTAGTGGATTCTGTAGTTCGAGTGCTACATTATTCCTTTGTTTGCTGGAGTCTTCTGATTTTTTTTCTTTCTTTTTCCCACTCTTCTTTGTTCCTCAGTGATCCCATAGGACAGAATAGAACTGTTCTGAGGCTGTAAATCTTTTTTTTTTAAGCTGTAAATCATTACAAGAGCAGAAAGCCTCATCTTTTCCCTGTGGAACAGCTGGTGAGCTCGAACTATTGACCCTGTGATTAGAGACCAACAAGTAAGCCACTTCACCACTAGGGTATCTGTAGGGTCACTCATGATGAGTCAGAATTGACTCTCCGCAGTATGGTTGGTTTTGTGGGTGCTCTGGATGGGAAGGGAACAGTAACCTAGCACCTTACGCGGCCACTCAACAGCTTTTAACAGCCCAGTCCATATTCACCCAAGTAGGCAGTAGCACAAGGCCTTTCTTATGGACCATGTTAGTTACGCTTGTTACGCTCCATATCCCGAGACAACAGTCCCAAGCCCTCAAGCCTGGTGACAGTCCTTCAAGGGGCTCTGGCTAACAAGTTTGCTCACCTTGCCCCTTATGCTGTACTGCACATTTAGATATACCTTCAAATGCGTGGGTAAAACATTTCCTATGGGCTGACCTTCCTTTCACTCGCCCACGGTAAATTAATATACATCAGTGTCTAGTCCGGGGCATTGTCCCTCACTCTTCCATCCCTGCTAACTGCCAACGTGCTTCTTTCTCTGCCTTAACCATGGTCTCATATGTCATTTTGAGATTTAACTTAGCATAATGTTCTCTAGGTTCATCTACGATGGGATAAGATTAGTTCAGATTCACTGACACTCTAAAATTGCACAGTACTCCACAGTACGTATAGAGCTCGCTTGTTTACCCATTCTTCAATGATTAGCATTCAGGTTATTTGTGTTTGTGTTCTTGTGAATAATGCTGCAGGGAACACGGGTGTGGGTGTATCTATTAATGTCACAGCTCAAGATTGCTTCATCACACAGCAGCCCCACGTCCAATGCTCAAATGGAGCACCTTTAAACATTTGAAATTAGGGTTTACTTTAACCCTGATAACGAAATTCCTAAAAGTATAACTTTCAAAAAACATAAATCTCCCCTGGGGAAGGGAGAAAAAAATAGATAATAAATCTCCCCTTAAAGCAGCGGTTCTCAACCTGGGGGCTGACAACCCTTTTACAGGGGTTGGTGATTCTTAACAGTACAAAATTAGTTATGAAGTAGCAATGAAGATAATTTTACGGTTGGAGGGGGGTCACCACAACATGAGAAACTGTATGAAAGGGTCGGGACACTAGGAAGGCTGAGCACCACCGCCTTAAAGAAGCGGTACTGGGTTGTTTTATGTATGAGGGGGCTTCGAACAGTTTGGAGCAAAGTTGATTTGAAATGTAATAGAATGTTCCTATGCACCTTTTAATCACTTGAATTATAAAAGATTTTTACTACTCACTTTATTGGGGGCTCATACGACTCTTATCACAATCCATTTATCCATCCCCTGTGTCAAGCACATTTGTACATTTGTTGCCATCATCATTCTCAAAACATTTGCTTTCTACTTGAGCCCTTGGTATCAGCCCCTCAATCACTTGATTTACCTTACTGAAGGACGGAGGTTCTTTCATTACATGGGTTCTAAATCACACTAGGCTCTCATCTTTAGTAAGAGATCAAACCTTTTGAGGTTAATAAATATTAATCATATACACACCTGTACTGGGAGTGGTGATGCCAATAACCTGCCCGGGCTTGTCCATGATAACATAAGGATTACTAATAACTGAGCTGCCAGTGCCTTGTTTCACGTGGATTGGAGTAGAAGTTGGGGTTCGAGGTAATGGTGATGGGCTTGGCGTTGATATTGGGGAACCTTTATTAATTAAAAAGAGAGGAGAAAGAAAATACATCTAATCAGCCCATCTAAGATGTTGCAGAAAAAAGAGACACCTGGCTGCCAGGACATAGGTTACAAATCAGGAAAATAAAGTGCCTGTCTGCTTCAGGTGCCGAGAGGCAGCGGCGGCCCACGTAAAGCTCTGGGTGCAGGGGTTCTGCCTCTCTAGGGACGCCTGGCAACAGCAGGTGGGCACATTTCCAGGTCCCACCCCAGACCTACTGAAGGTGCCTCCAGGTGAGCACATTCTGTAACACTGTGGAAATGCTGGATCCTGAAGCAAGACACCTTATCTTTTTGTGTGTGTGCATGTTTTGAAACTTAAAAAAAAAATCATATTGGGGGTTCATACAATTCTGATCACAATCCATACATACGTCCCCTGTGTCAAGCACATTTGTACATTTGCTGCCACCATCATTCTCAGAACATTTGCTTTCTACTTGAGCCCTGGGTATCAGCTCATTTGACACCTTATCCTTCAGTTTCATGGGCGGGCTGTTTGACACTGGGTACTGCTTGCCGTTAAGCGTCGATGCTGACTCACAGTAGCACCAGAGGGCAGGGTAGAATGGCCCACAAGATCTCCAAGACTGCGCAGAGTAGGGAACCAGTGGTGAGGTCTGGGGGGCTGGCCCCAGTCCCAAATACTAAGTGGATGCCTGCCCCTCCCCCGAGAAGTTATTTCAAAGGATGACACTGAATCCGCAGCTCCGGGAGAAGGATATATCTGATCAGAGCACACAGGAGCAGATAGCAGGGGAGGAGGAGACACTGGAGCACATCCTGGCCCACCAGGCCTTGAGGACGATGACCCCAATTAGAGCAGCCAGTTCACAGAGAGGACCACATGGCCAGCCCCACTATGAGACATGATGCCCCTCACTGACCCATGGCCCTGCAGGGGACAATACCAGAGACA